TGTGGATAACAATGAAGATCATAAAATATCTTGACACTTCTAGACATTCTGATTTTAAATATTAGAAAATCAATTTGAAAGGCCATGGATTTATAGAATCATGATCTATTCAAATGTCATAATATCTGAAAGGATCGTGACAGATTCGACCAAAGCAATCACAGTACAAGGAGGTAGGGAAAAAAAATCAAAGCGGCCTTATATGTAACATTTGTCATTCCTTATATGTAACATTTATAAAATCAATTCGAGTATACACACACATACTAACTAGGTTTTATGCACGTGTGATGTATGTGATCAAATATCATGATTAAATATATTTGGTTTATTTCCTTACGGAAACTTGTTTTTCGGTTCCACTTTGATGGTTTTTGACTACTTATATCTCTAAATTTTACATTGTTATTATTTATTTTCTTTAATATTCGTTTAAATGAACTATACCCAATTTAAATTTTTATATTAATAATTAAAATTGATAGAAAATAAAAGTAATATGAAATCAATTTGAATTATCATGTCATTGAGACGGACATGAAACCAAGCTTGACCTGATAAAATATAGCATTATAAAAGTAAAAAACTCTTCAAAAAATAGCGTTCTAAAAGAAAAATAAATAATTAAAGCTCATAAGATAAGATGATTGGGTAAAATTGAGCTAAAATGCACAAAAGATAATATGCAGTTTGTTCCTAATCCTTGATAGACTTTACAAAATCATAAAATAAAGATTAATACTAAATCTAGTACACTTTTATATAATGAAAACATCCACATAAGCATATAAAAGTACTAAATAAAATTTATGAAAATCCCTTTCAAAAATTCCTAGTTTACTCCAAATAAACACATTTTATAAAATATTCAGAAAATAGTGTCTTTCATTCCTTCTATTTTATTTTTATTGAAACGTTATCAATCATTCTCCGCCTTTATCTTTTTTGACAAAATTAGACTACTTTTAGATGCCGAAAAAAGATAGTAAAACTTTAAAATAAAAGTTAAAATTACATATCTTAATGAAAGAATATCAAACAACTACCATTTTTTGCTATGTTTTAAAACTTTAGTCGTTTTTTCGTGATTTTTTGAAACTTTGAGAGTGTTTTTTAAATATTTTAAATTTTAAGTTGAGTGCTTATAATTTTCATGTTTCATGTGCTGGTAGTAAGTTTTTGAATTTCAGAATATTTCTTGCAACTTTGAATTTTTAAGGGTATTTTTTACAATTATTAAAACTTTAGATTGTTTGTTGAAAAATTTAAATTTTTAGCGGCCTGCTAATAATTTAGAGATTTGATATGTATTGACTATAAGTTATTAAATTTTAGGGTTTTATTTTTTTAAAATTTTTTGAAGGAGTTTTTAAAAAAAATTATAACTTTGAGGTTATTTTTTACAAATTTTAGTTTTTTAGTGTCTGATAGTAATTCATTGAATTCATCTTTGTTGTTCACGAGTTTTAAAATTTCAGAATTTTATAGTACTTTTTTATTATTTGAACTTTTGAGGGTGTTTTTATAGTTTTTAAAATATTAAGGGTTTCATGTTTGTTATTTTAAGTTTTGTATATAACGTCTAGATGTTTTGTGTAAGTTTATACTTTTAAGGGTGTTTTATGCAAATTTTAAAATATTTTAGGTTTTTTACAATCTTCATATATTATATCTTATTAATCTTTAAATTATTGACATGTAAGTAATTCACATGAGATTAGAATAGGATATAATTATGATTATAATAGATTAAAATTTAAATAAAATATTCAAATAGTCAATGATAATATTGACCATGAAAAGATTTTGCCAAACTCGTACTTTTAAAGGGAGTATGATATGATATATATATATCAATTCGTTTAATCTTGTTCAAAACTTGTAATCAATTGACATGTTAAAGGATTCACATAGTCGGGGACAAAAAAATTCACTGGTGATCATGTTTATGTTTCGTAATGATTTCTAATTTACGGAACACTCGTATACAAAATGTAAATTTTGCATAATTTAATATACAATTTGAGAATTAAATAAATTAACGTGAAATCTTAAAATAAATAAACTATGAAATAATACAGAACAAATCTATTTTAAGAAAGTATCAAGCGGATTAGATTCATTGGACATATAGCGTTCAAAGAAATGAGAAATGAGAATGATCAATGAAAAACATGGTTTTAGTGAGCATTGTAGTTGAATTGTTAAGGGAATATACAATTTATTTTTTCTTTTAGATTTTTCAGGTGTGAAGACATTTACGTTGATTATGATAGTTTTAAAATAAAAATTATGATAGATTAAAAATAAAATTACAGTAGTTTTAACAGAAAATTAAACAAAAATTAAGAGTTAAAAATTTCTAAAATTAACACTTGGGCATTGAATGAAAACTATTGGAGGAAAATGCTTGTGTTTGCATAAATGTGGGTATTTTGGTGCAAATTTTAGGCCATACGGGGGACTGTTAGAAAGAAACGAGGGTATATAAGTGCAAAGTAGGATTAGCTATAAGGTATTTAAATGCAATTAAGCTTAATTATAAATTTTGTTTCTTTTTCTCTTTTAAGTTCGTCTTCTTCTTCAGTGCTTTTGTTTCTAGATGTTTTTCTAAAACCTTTTACTTACTTTAATCCAACATTTAAAACATAATCACCGACAAGGTTAAGCAAAGCATCTCATTTTCCTCGTTCACCTTTTTGCCTTCGATGCTGTCACTATTAGAACAAGAGTCAGTGTCAAATCTTGAGAGAGAAAGTGACAGAGAGAGAGAGAGAGAGAGAGAGAGAGAGGATGCGTTCTCTTCTTCCTCTCTTTGTTCTTCTTCTTCTTCTGCTCTGTGCCTCTGTGATCGTTCAGTCCGCCACCGATCCTAAAGATGGTAAGTTGTTGAACAAAGAGTTGAGACTTATCGTACATTTTTCTCTAATCAATGCCAGAGTTTGAGATTTTGTCAAAAGGATCGAACTTTCTATCTGGGTTTTTGGAAAATTTTGTTGCCCATCTCTTTTTTTTTGTTGGGGTTGAATTATTGATACCCATTTGATATTTTTCAACCTAGATCGTGCTCAACTTATTTTTATATTGAAATCTTGATGCTCGTTTTATATATTTCACTATTGGTTATTGTTAAGCTGAAATTTGGTCCTCTAACTTGCAGTTCAAGCACTTGGGGTTTTCTATAGCTCTTTGAATAGCCCAACTCAGCTTTCTCGATGGACCTCGGACGGCGGCGATCCTTGCGGAGAATCTTGGAAGGGGATTACTTGTTCTGGTTCAGCTGTGACTTCAATGTAATGAAATTTCAATCTCAATGCAATATTTTGTTTAGTAGAATTGTATGTTTTCATGTCATTTATTTACTTGATCATGTGGTTATAGACAACTTCCCGGATTTGGGCTTAATGGCACTCTTGGTTACACTCTCTCAGATTTGTTGTCCTTGAGAACATTGTGAGTAAAGTCGATCAATCGTCTTTAATTGATGAAGGATACCAATGTGCATTGGCATGATAATTTTACCTTTTGTTGATATTTTATTATTAGGGATTTGAGCAATAATAACATACACGAAACCATTCCGTATCAGCTGCCGCCGAATCTTACCAACTTGTATGTGTTATTCTCTTATTCTCTAATTGATGGTTTCCCCTCTTTTACTGCAATTATATTTACTTTTGGTTTGAAGTGCTAGGCTACATTTCATGGTGCAGGAATCTTTCTAACAATAACCTCACAGGGAATCTTCCTTTTTCTATATCTTCCATGATTTCTCTTGTTTATCTGTAAGGTTCTCATACACTGTAACTGCCATGAGAGATTTAATATGTCAGCAATCTGATTAAGCCTTATGAATATGTAACTTTTTTGTTTGTAGCAATGCCAGCCACAACCAATTGTCTGAAGAAATTGGAGATCATTTTGGAAATCTGCAGAATTTGTCGGATTTGTAAGATATTCTTCACTGGTTCATTTAATTCTTTTTAGATGCTCTCGCTATCGTGACTTACCATCTTAGAAAGTGTACTCTTGAAAGACATGAGACATTTAATAAGTTAAAAAGAGCATAATTATTCATTGTTTCAGGTCTTCAGTATTTCTTACCCTGTTTGCTATGCCTTTGAGTTCGTGTGAGTTTTAGCTTGTCTTGTTGCCATGTACTAAATCAGTTAAGTCTTTATGTAGGTAGATCTTTCGCAGTTACATTTTTTTCAGAATTTTAATTTCTCTGATGGCAACATGTTGGAAATTTTCAGTGCTCAATCAATTCCATACAAAAGTTCATTCATGCATGTTTAGTGTTAAGCCTAAGCAGTATGCTCATTT